AAGAAAGATGAAGGGAGTCTTAGGCAGGCTGAGGTTTAAGACCCACTCACTGCCTTACTCAGCCAAAGCAGACCCACCCCCGCCTCTAGGTTCTGGATTTGCAGGTGTGTACCAGTTGTCCTGGCTCACACAAGAGATGCATTCATAACTTGATAAATGATTCACAGACAACCCTTGGCTAAATTATGACATAACTGCCATCCAAAGAACTCTGGGTCTTGCACTCAAAACCCTCAGTACACTTCTGGGACAAGGCCTTAGAGACATCTACAGAACGCTGCTGTGTGGCAGCCTCACAGACTTCTATGAGAGACTGCCCACTGACAACCTGGTGGACCTCTCCTGAAGTGTGCTGGGAGAAGGCTTCACCAGCCTTCAACTGAGCCAACTGGGTAGCATCAGCAACCTCCACGGGAGTCTGCTGCGAGGCAGCCTCACAGATCACAGGAGTCGGCTGGGTGGCAGCCTCGCTGACCTTCACAGGAGATAGCTGGGTGGCCGCCTCACAGACCTTTTCAGGAGACTGTTCGGTGGCAGCCTCATGGACCTGCACCGGAGCCAACTGGGTGGCAGCTTCGCTGACCTTCACAGGAGTCGGTTGGGTGGCAGCCTCGCTGACCTTCACAGGAGCAGTCTGGATGGCAGACTTACAGACTATCACAGGAGCGGTCTGGGTGGCAGACTCCCGGACCTGCACTGGAGCCAACTGGGTGGCCGCCTCACAGACCTTCACAGGAGACTGTTGGGTGGCAGCCTTATTGACCTTCACCGGTTCCATTTGGGTGGCAGCCACACAGACCAGCATAGGAGTCGGCTGCGTGGTAGACTCATGGACTGTCACAGGAGTCGGCTGGGTGTCAGCCTCACGGATTTTCACAGGAGCCGTCTGAGTGGCAGCCTCACGGACCTTCACAGGAGCCGTCTGGGTGGCAGCCTAACGGACTGTCACAGGAATCGGCTGGGTGGCCGCCTTACGGGCCTCCATAAGACGACGCTCAACTCCAGCCTCCAGAGCCTCCTTTTCCATGAGTTTCATGCGGCAATGGTGAGCCACATTAGAGAGCATCTGAGCAACGTCCTTTTGAAAAGAAGGCTGTCCGAAGATCCAAATCTCAGCTCGTTTTTCAGGACCCCACACGTTCACATGAATCACTGTGTGCAATGTAATTTCAATATGCGGGATGTGCTCTCCGTTCTTACCAAATATGATTTCCACTAGCAACGGTTCCACATCCATTCTCTTTGGATCTTCCAGATACTCAACGTGGAACCACATGGGCAGCTTGGCCTCTTGGACAATTTCAAATTCAGTACCTCCTTTGTGATTCAGAGGAACCAGCGTCTGAAACTTCTTGACAGTGGCCATACCGTACCCAGCAGTCTCACCACAGAAAGCCTACCCAACTCCAAAACCAGCGAACTCGCAAATGTCACTCTTAATCTCAGAAAATGTTCCCATGCTGATATGAAAAACATGGTGTCCATAGGAGATACAGAGTCTTTCTTGTCTCAAGGATGCATAGCTTGGAGAGCTAAGGTGTTTGCCAATTGAGCAAGCCATCACAATTGCCCCCAACTAGTGGCTTTTGTATTTTTTCATAAACTATATGAATGATTTTAAACGTAATAATAGCAGGTGGATTTAGAAAGGAGTATATCATGGGATTATAGGTGGGAGTTTAAGAGAGAAATTTAAAAAACTGATTGACTCAAGGAAATACAGCACTGTAAGAATCATTCTTCCCCCTACCCCAGCCAAAGCCTTATACTGTAGATAGCTGTATATTTCACTTCTGTCTACCATATGCCTGAATGCAGCTGCTAGGCTGATATGATAGAAAAAAAATGTTCTTTTTTTTTTTTTTGGACTGAATTATCTTGATTATTTATTGATGTGGGAGGGCCTCCTCCATTCCCAGTTTAATCTCTCCACTGTGGCACCATTCCGAGGCAGGTGGGTGTGAGTTCCATAAGAAAGCTTGAAGGGACTTTAGCCAGCTCACAAACATGGCTTTGGTAGGCCTTGCCCTTCTCCCTAACCCCCATGCCTTGTTATTTTAAAAAAAAAAAAAAAGTATTAGATTACATTCTTAAAGCTAGCTCCCAAGATTTATTCCCTTATTTGCCCACTTCCTCCTCCTGAAGCTGACTACCAAAGTCAAGCTATCAAGTACTGAAATCCAGGAATCAAAAGCCCCCTTTGGCTCACCTGATTAACATGCCCAGTTGAAACTAAACACCTCATCACCATTTGCCTGCAGGCCACGTTGGTCTCCTTTGTATCCAGAGGCAGTCCTCTAAAATACTTCTTCCCTCTCTCCTGTGCCCTTTTCTCCCCTCTCTCTTGTTCCCTTCGTCTTCCTCTATCTCCTGTCTTTGTCCTTTATCCCCCTCCTCTGTTCATCTGGGGCAAATAAACTTCCTTTGTGTAGTGTGTAGTTTCTGCTACCCTGCTGTAATATAAGCTCTGGGCGCCCAGGAGCCACTGGATCCACGGAACACACACACACACACACACACACACACACACACACACCCCTCACCTCTCAATCTTCCCTCAACTTTAGTTGCTCAGTTATCTTTAGTTCTAGCTCAGCACCCTAAATCTGCTCTCAGTTTAGTTGGGTTTCTAATCTCTGGCCTGCTACCCCAGGCCCAGTCAGAGAAGTGGCCAACGGATACTCCCTCTGTCTCACATGATTGGTAGCTCTTTCTTCCTTTGAAGCATGGCAAATCGCTTCTCCTCTCCGGTGTCTCAAAAAAAAATGTTCTAATACAAATGGATAAAGTATTTCTCAAAGGGATTGTATCATTTTTCAATGAAGACCAAACACCAGCTCTAATGTTTTGACCTTTACTTTGGATCAGTTGTATGTGTGATGCGTTGTGTGTTCAGTGGTTAAATAAACATGCAGTTATTACATAGTATAATAGTTTTAATTTACAATATTATAGTGGCTAACTTTAATAAACAATTTTCTGTAGCTACTATTGTGTGTAACTATGAACATGTAGTATTTCTTTCTATGAAGTATCCAAACATTTGCTTCTTTGTATTGATTTTTAGCTTTTTTTTGGTTCATAGAAAGTAAACTGAACTTTGCTTTTGGCATACAGTTCTACAAATTTACTTTTGGTGTAGAGTTCTAGAACATCAGTGTCATTATGGAATAGACGCTCAGATGTCTCTGTACTATGATTTACCACCAGGAATGACCATGGGTAGCTAAAATCTCTTCATTCACTATCTTTTTCTCCAGTTTCAAACCAATGAAATCATATATGTCTAATATATGCAGAGTCTTTTTTTCTTAACTAGTGTAACACTTAGGAGTTTACATAAGTTATACTGTGGCCCATTGTTTCATTCCTCTTTAGTGCTGAGAAGTATCTCATTGTAACCACTAAAGAAAGAGAGGAGTAGGTTCAACAGAAGGTTCAAGAGATCCACTAAGAGATGGATAGACATTTTGGAATAGGGTATTTAGTAACAACAGGGTCTGAAAGCATAAAGGTTCAGGATTGACCCACAAAGTAAAGTTTCTTCTTTCTAAGTTCCCTCTGGGCATGTGTTTTCTGTTACTATGATAAACATAGTGACCTAAAGTGACTTGGAGGCTGGTGTTATTTGACCGACTGATAAGAGGCCATGATGTAAGGAAGTCAATGCAAGAACTCAAGGCATGAACCTTCTGTCAGAAACTGAAGGAGAGGCCACAAAGGAATCTGGATAACTGGCTTATGGATGGCACCTTGCACAGTGGCCTGAGCCCTTTTGCATCAATTACCAATTCAGAAAACACCCCCCAGAAATGCCCACAGGCCAATCAAAATGGGACGATTCATAAAAATAATCTTTTAATTTTTATTAGACTATAGTTACATCATTTCCTCCTTCGAATTCTGCTCTCCAAACACTCCCATGTAACCCTCCTTGCTCTTTTTCTAATTTGTAGCCTCTTTCTCCATTGATTGTGGTTATATCCATATGTATATACATATATATTGTTAAAGTATATGAATACAACCTGCCTAGCCTGTATGATGTTAAATGACTGTGTAAATATGAGCTGAACAAGGACAACAACAACAGACGTGCTAAAGTACATTTCCTAATTTCATTCCTATTGCTATAATAAAAATATTTGGACACACTGCAACTTAGAGGAGAAAAGTTATTTGGCTTACATATCTACATTTACAACTCATCATTTGAGAAAATAAGGCAGGAATTTGAACCAGCTGGACACATGACATTCACTGTAAAAGGCAAAAACAAATAAATGTACACATGCTTAATACTCAGCTATCTTTCTCAATTTTCACATAGTCTAATGCACCAAACCTAGGAATGATGGAACCCAATTTCAGACTTAGTCACTTGTCATTAATTAAGGCAATCAAGACCATTTCCCACAGAGATGCCTACAGGTCAACCTGACCTAGAGAATTCCTCATTGAGATGCTTCTTACATGTGATTCTAAGTAGAATCAAGACAGCAATTAAAACTACCCATGAGAGTAAGTATATGCCAGTTTGTCATTCATCTATTTCAGGACATTAAAAGACTGCTTTGGTGCATACGGATACAGTACATTAACATTTGTGTATAGTTTTAAACTCTGTTTATGTACAGTGTGTGTAAGTATGGGGTTGAGTAGTAAGGGTTGTCCACAGAGACTGGAAGTGTGTGTCCTTGTAGTAGGAGTTACACGATGTGGGTGCTGAAATATGAGCTTCAGTCTCTGTTGATGAAATAAGCTCTCCTAGCTACTAAAGCATCTCTCCAGTGCATGTGAGGGAACACTGGAACCACTGAACTAGAGTATGTTGTGGGGAAAATAAAGGATTATTGGGGAGTCAAACTGCTGGAGCTGTCTCATAAGGGGCAGGGATCAGAAAATGGTAGAAAGGAGAACCTGGGCAGTTTTAAGGGAACAACAAGAGGTGTGACAGTGTATGTGAACCAGAACAATCTGGAGTTAGAGCAACAGAAATGTGGAATGTAGGCCAGAACAGTGTAGGAAATAAGCATGGGGACTTCAAATTCTTACAAGTTTGAGTTAATGGGAAACTAGATGCCCTTGCCACAGGTAGTTGGCTGTAAAGGACAGATAAGGGAGGTAATGCCTTTTCTTGGCAAACCTGCTCTACAAGACTTCTAAGAGGTGCAGAGTTTAGGTAGCAATCCTTTTGTTTACCCAATCTGAGTCCAGCCTGAGATCAGCCCCTGCTATTATTTAGGACTCTGTCAGCAGTACTTCCACTGTTGGGGCCCACTTTGGACCTAATTTTCAGCCCCACATGTTTGCTTATGTAATATATGTTTCATTCTCTGGATAAATGTCTTGAAAAAGAATTGATGGTTCTGTCCAGTATGTACTGGGAGTTGTTTTGTTGTGATCCTTGAACTGATTTATTTACATATTACTCAGAGAAGTTCCATTCAAAAAGGCAGGCAAACAGAGCCTCTACAAAATGGAGCATGATAAACTAGATCTCTTTTCTGTGGCTAGCCCAAGAAAGTACAACATGTCTTTACTAGAAACCTAGATTTGAGGCTTATATGGCTCTCAGATTTACTCATTCAATGACACTTCTGCTCCCTATCCTATCACTAGCCCAGGCTGGAGTTATGCTCCACAGGCTCGTCATTGCTGTATCAGCCTCGTGTGTGTGTGTGTGTGTGTGTGTGTGTGTGTGTGTGTATACTTATGTAATTTAAATGAAAATTACCTACCTAGGATGACAATTCTTTCCTCAAGAGTCAGATTATTAAAAATACTACCATCTGGCATTGTTCTCTTAGATACTCCTACAATATTATAGGCTAATTGCTTGCCACTCAGAGATAGATGATAAATCTTCATTACTGAAGATACCATGAACTTCTGGCACAAGATCTGGAGGACATGGATCCACCCGGAGCCTGATTTATGATAATGAAAGGCCCTATGCAAGCTACCAGTGGAGAAAAGCAGTCAATAATCCAGCCCAACTATGAGACTTATTAACCACAAAATCAATCATCAGAGTATAGTAACTCCAAGAGTTTGGGGTTTAAAAATCTAACTAAATAGATACTGATAAAGTGATTTGTTTCTAAAAAATAAATTTCTATATGATTGGGAATGTGGCTCAGTTGGAAGAGTATATGTTGAACGTGCATGAAGAACTGAGCACCAACTAAATCAGATGTAGGTCATACAATTGCAATGACATCATTCAAGAGATAGAAACAGGAGGCTAAGAAGTTCTAGGTCACCACCTTATATTTTAAAGAAGAGTGAGGACAGTCTATGGTATAGGAGACACTGTCACAAACACACAAAGCATGTTCTTATTTAATCACCTTTCCTGTCCGT